TACTTCTCAGTGACTGCAGCGTCTTATTGAATTGAGGAAGGGGTTCAAACGCTACCTCATTCTATTCTTCATTGAAAACGTAACACACTACAATTTCATTCACGAATATAACCACTTGCAAAATAGAATTTGTGGAGCGGTTCATACAATATGTTCATCACACAGAGCGAAAGGATACGTGATTGGATAACACAGATAAGTAAGATGAGTAATGTGACGGGCAAGTTTGTAAGCGGTATCCTGCTTCCTTGAAATGATCCATAGTCATCGTCCAATCAGTCGGGTGCGTCTCAATTCTGAGGCGGAAGGAATGTTATTGCTCCATCACGGAAACTCCCGGAAACTCTAGAAGACTTGGGATTGTGGCTGTCTGTTTGTTTCCACATATTTTTCAAAAATGACGTTTGGTACCAATCGATAGAAGTGGTAAAGGGAAGCAGAGGCTGTATTCCTTGAGTACACTTAGAAATGACATCGTCGCAATCAGTGGCGCGTTTTCAAGAGGGATGGGATGAGCCAATCCCCGCCCCTCACAGCTGGTAGTTTTCTTCCTAAGTCACCCACCAACCGATCATAATTGATAGGACAAGGCTCGAAGGCAGGCTCATTCCACCTCATCTGAGGTCCGTTATCAGCTTGATCATGATAAAGCTTTTAGGCAGTGCCTAACGTGGTTGCATAGGGGAAATGTTCAGTGCGATCACCCACTATATACTATTCGCTTCGTCTGTCTGCTTGTTCCTTTTTTTGTCTTTCTGTACGGATTCTGTTCGACTTGAAGAACAGCTCGGAGAGTTGGATTCAAGGTACGGATGAGTAGGCATAAGCAAGGTGTGAAGAACATACTTGACAATTCTGTGCACCGGGAGGGTATGCGCTCAAAATCGGCGGTGCAGCGGGAGAACACTCATGATTCGCTACCAGAGCAGCACCACGAAGACACAGCTGAAATGGCGGGGCGTGACTGAGATGGCAGAGCTTCTCACGGAAAACTCGGTTTTCAAGGTAGTGAACAGTGTGCAAGAAGCCAATGGGGAAGACAAACATCTAGCAAAAGCTGGGCATGCCTTCCGACCACCACCGTGGGCGAAGCTCGCCTTCGAGTGCAAAAGACTCAATTTGAAAATTGAGTTTGGTGCCGTAGCATTCGTGAGACCGGGTAAAGGTGATCAAGGTAGCAGTGGGGGCTATAAAAATATAAAAGGATAAAGTCTTCGCCGTTGATCAATCCCTTTGTGGGATGCGGCACGCATTCTACTTCCATTCAGAATCGTAGTGGCTTATTGAATGCGATGTGGCCTATACAATGCGGTGGCCAGCCGATGTACAAGTCAGTGTTTTATCCTCCCAGACGAATCTGGTACCAATTCACCGTCCCCGGAGGGTAGAAGGCTTGGTTGGCCTGGGCGGGAGTCGACCCGGGATTCGAACCCGGCGCCGCGCGAGTGGTAAGCGCGCCACTTGTCACTACACCACCTCCGCCTCCAGTGGGGGCTAGCAGTTGAGAATTTTAGGGCACATTCATTATAGGCGACGTCGACGCTGCATGGGCCTGGTTGAACTCAAGGCTTTATAAAACAGTTAGGGGGCAGCCTAGATACCGGATAGAATGGGTCAAGACAGCGAGGGATTACCGGCTGAGAAGTATGAGATACACACAAGATGGGCGAGGCGCGCCGAGATAAACTGAGCCAAACGAAGAAATCTGTAAAACGGTTTCACAAAACCCCCAGACACCGAAAAAGGTGCATTAATGTCAGAGGGAAGTCATCGGCTGAGATGTGCGGGATACACGCACGTTGTGGGCGGAGCCCGAGTTGAGATGGGCGGGGTCTACCAAGAAATCGGTAGAAGTTTTGGAAATTCACGATCACCGTGGGCCAAAGCATGCACCGAGGTAGGCGCGACTAGGGTTACAATACACGATTAGGAGTAGCACTGCTACCGGTACAAGTGATTTGAGGTTAATAAGGTATCAGCGGACGAAAAGGGTAGGCGTCCGCAAAGTGGACGGTGCGTGCTGGAGATGTTGGCCACTTGCTGAGAAATTTCATGATTCCGTCCTGCAGCTTCATTTTATTGAAAACGGGCCTTGAATGCGGAGTCACTGGAGAAAAAGAGGCGTCACTGAGCATGTATTGCGTTATACAGCACCTCCCTTATAACTTGTTGCCCCGAAAACAGTGCCAAGTTGTTTGCCGCAGATCACACTACTCTCGGAACAATATTGTCAAGTTTCATACAATGCCAATTCATTTGAAAGAAAACCGGATGTTGGCCAGGTAACAAATATGTGCAAGGGGTGAGGCTGTGCCGGCTCCAGTCAGCAACCCGGCTCGTGATCCTTCATTTTATAAACCAGTAATTTTGTGTGCCACATTGTATGTTTTTTGAATACGAATTTATTTATAGGTAGTATGCATATATATACCATTTTCACTTTAAATCGGACACTTTTCAAACCAAATCGGACACTTTTCAAACCAAATCGGACACTTTTCAAACCAAATCGGACACTTTTCAAACCAAATCGGACACTTTTCAAACCAAATCGGACACTTTTCAAATCAAATCGGACACACCCCTTACAATTAGGTGGTTGATAACTAGACCACACTAGGTACTGTTGCAAGCCCCGCCCCATTATCCCCGCCCACTTCTCAGCGCGGACAGGGTTTTCCGAGATGCTTCATGAAATCTGCTCCCTCGACTTTTTTTCGTTTTTGCCCTTTGCACACACACTTCAACTGAAAAAGATTGATACCTATACAGATCTGACTCCGCCCACTTAACAATGAAGTTACGTAAGTTCTGAATTTTTATAACTTTTTTCGACGTAGTTCTTTTCACATCCAATCTTCACAAAACGAATAACCATGCACAGCACACCAGGCCCCGCCCCTCTGACCCCGCCCACTTGTGTTTATCGCGGAATTTTGGTTTTTCTTCCGGATTTTCGCTTTTTTAGGCTTTAGCGATTGGCTCCGCCCACCAATGGAAGCTCCGCCCACTTTTCGAAAATGATGCAAATCGGCGGGCTAGTGTCCGTACTGGCGGATTACGGCCTCTCCCGGCACATAGAATAAAAAAAAGGGAAAAACCGGAAAAAAAGGGAAACTTTGTTCTGAGCGACGGGAGAGGCCGTAATCCGCCAGTACGGACACTAGCCCGCCGATTTGCATCATTTTTCGAAAAGTGGGCGGGGCTTCCCCAAAACGGAGCTTCCATTGGTGGGCGGAGCCAATCGCTAAAGCCTAAAAAAGCGAAAATCCGGAAGAAAAACCAAAATTCCGCGATAAACACAAGTGGGCGGGGTCAGAGGGGCGGGGCCTGGTGTGCTGTGCATGGTTATTCGTTTTGTGAAGATTGGATGTGAAAAGAACTACGTCGAAAAAAGTTATAAAAATTCAGAACTTACGTAACTTCATTGTTAAGTGGGCGGAGTCAGATCTGTATAGGTATCAATCTTTCAGTTGAAGTGTGTGTGCAAAGGGCAAAAACGAAAAAAACAAGTCGAGGGAGCAGATTTCATGAAGCATCTCGGAAAACCCTGTCCGCGCTGAGAAGTGGGCGGGGATAATGGGGCGGGGCTTGCAACAGTACCTAGTGTGGTCTAGTTATCAACCACCTAATTGTAAGGGGTGTGTCCGATTTGGTTTGAAAAGTGTCCGATTTGGTTTGAAAAGTGTCCGATTTGGTTTGAAAAGTGTCCGATTTAAAGTGAAAATCATATATGCATGTTCGTCCGCAAAGTGCTCCCGAGTGCCCCTCTGTTTACTTCCCCTGCACGTGCTCAGCCGGACTTGAGCATGTGGAGATGAGGGAAGGTATGTACGGTGCGCGGGAGAGGGGCGTAGCGTACGCCTGAGTAGGATATCAGCAGGAGAGTAGGACACAAGCTAGCAAAACTGCGGGGTAATCCATAATAAAGTAACAAACTAAGATGTTGTTCTGATTATGATAATACCCTCACCCTATACAAGACAACCATTTAGTACACCTCGAGACTCCTCAAGCTGCTCGCGCGCAGCTTGCTCCACCTATTGCGATTCAATCGAAACAGCGCATTATGGCTAGCTAAGTGAAAGAACAAACCCCGTTCCCATTATTGCGCCTGACGAAGACAAGCCAGTTAAAGACAGCCCCCGCGCTCAAGTAGTACATGGTCGTCCTTCCTTGTGCAGGTAGTTCAGCCCCCAAGCTAGATACTGTCCCACTCTCGCGACTCCTCAGCGAGCGAGGAGCGAGCTAGAACCGCTCAAAGTTCTAGTTCTAACGCCTGCTCAGTTGGACCGCCTCACTAGCTAGCTGCCCTCTGACGGAGAGCCGCTCAGTTGTTCCTTGTTGGGACGGCAGTCATTAATCGGAACTGCATGTATTTTTTGCTGACCGCGCTCGTGCTCGTAAATAATTCTGCTCTCCTTCATCACATTTTATTCATTGGGAGCACGTACAGTCAACAGCAACCCATCTCGTAAGGTAAAACGCGTAAAAATCACGAATGATGCAATTTCTGTGGTGCAAAAGCTCGACGCACTTCACTACACTAAAACATGCTCGCTACCGTAACCCTAAGTTCGGACGCCGGCTTTTTAAATGTTTCCTTTTCTTTTCAAGAGTTTTCCTCTATGTTTCTGTTGTTTTTTGTTTTCTTTTCTTCGCATTCGATGATATGGGAGATGTGACAAAGTGATTTGTGAGCCAGGGCTTGCACAGAGACCGCAGGGAGGTGTGACTGTCAGGTCGCGATTTTGTTTATGGTGTTCTTGAGGGCTCTTGTTTCTTTTTTCCTTCATTGAGGAATTACTTATCAGCTACTGTTTCATAATTGATCAGCAATTATCCTTGACACTTTTATCGCGGGAGCTGTCTTTAAATGTACAACCCACTACATGAAAGCCGTTTTACAGGAGAACAACAACGTCGAACACCGGATACTAGCCCAAATCATAGGGATCACACAGAATAGAAAGGCGTAAAAGCACAGGCACTTAAGGAGGTTATTCATTGTAGGAGCACTGGTTATGAGTGTAGTACTGAGCAATGTCGTCTATGATTAAACTCTCTTTGTGATAAATGTCCGTACAAAGTTCACATAGTGCTGTACTTGTATACGTCGGCGACAGTCGGTAATCTTTGGCCCATTCAAAGTACCTGATATCTCCAAATTTACTAGATTTACACAGAATGAAACTGCTTGAAAGCGCCTGTGCACAAAAGTTCCGTGTTCAGAACGTACTTTAGGTATGCAGTATCGTTCGTGCGCAAGAAGTTCAAGTAATCACCCAATTCCTTCAGCACTCTTGAAGTCGTCCAGAGCAATAAAAGATTTTGGAGGAATATCAGTGCCTGAAAAAAGAGCAGAAAGTGAACAATAACGTCAACATCTTTTAGTCATAATGATGTTGTCCATATCTGCTACCCACTGCACTTTAGGAGGAAACCGGAAGGTTACCGCTAATAAGTTAATTACTGTGCTCCTCCATGTCCTTCACTCGGAAAATCGTTCTGCGATTCCCAGAGACAGTCGAGATCAGCGTACGACTACAGCTCTCGCAATCTATGCCTAATTATGGCCACTTTCAGCTAGAGGTTATCTTCAGCTAGAAGCCGGAAATGGCTACGAGCTGAAATGTTGGGGTATGTCAGGAAACCAAACTCTTTCTCTATAGAATCTGATAAGCGTTTCGCAACAGGAAATCGCTCGCCCTGCAAGAGCAAGAAGAGGTTTGCAGCTGGGATATTACACAACAGGCGCGATTATATGGTTACCTTCATACTTTGCGACTCCACGTTTTGGGTAAATGCATTTCGAGCGAATCGATGCTCTGCGGGAAACAGGTGAAGGCATCGATCAGGCTTCACGAAAGAATCAGTTTCAGCGAAAAGGATAGATTAGGTATCGAATGGCGATGGCTTGGAAGACTCGAAGTTTTGGCCTACAGACGTTTTCTATTTTGCATGAACGCTTGCTGTGGTACAACTATTTCAGTGAATCACTAGACGAGCGCGTCATCTAGCAAAAATTTCATGCAAGTATGGTGCCGTGTAGGACTCGTTCTCTAGTATTCTTGGCGATTTCTCTATGCTTACATATATTATGCAACGCTACCCAGCACAAGATTGTAGATGGCGGGTTAGGAACAGGAGTGTACGTGATACATCCGCACGTCAACAAGAAATGAAAGGAAATGATCTGAACGCTTTAGGAAGAGCCCTGTCTGCTCCAAGCGAGAGAAGGGGCGTGAACGTCGAGCGAGAGGATAGAGAAACTAGCGAGAGAGCATGCTAACGGGCAAAACTACAGATGAAAATCAATCACTGTAGCCAAAGTATTAGGTTGTCCGGAAAGTTCTCAGCGTTTTGGGTGTTTCACTTTAAACGATCGTAACTTTTTTAATACTCATCGGATTTAATCGAAATAGGCACCATTCGAATCAGCACACTTTTGCCAATGTGACAGCAGTCGAGAAATCCCATCAAAGTAAAAAACTGGGTGGTCGAAAATTCACGAAATCCACTAAGGCTTTTTGCCTGGTCCTGATTGATGAAGTATTTTCCAGCAAGGGAGTTCTGAAAATGTTAGAAAAGGTGATAGTCGGTTGGCGAAAGGTCTGAAGAATATGGCGGTTGAGGTAGAACTTCAACCCCCAATTCGTTCAATTTATGGATAGTGATTTGTGAAAGGGACAGCATGGGGATGTGTCAAATGGCGGTGTGGGTACGACCCCCCCCCCTCGAAGAGGGTCCAGATACGACCCCCCCCCCTCCTGCTCTAACTGACAACCAGATGCATGTTCACCACAAATGGCTTCCTGAAATGGAATCTGGATTCTCGAAAGGCGCACTCTGCTCTAAAATACAGGAAATAAAAGGCTGTTTCAGCCTCATGCAATATGAGGCTGAACAACAGCCTCGCATTACCTACAATTTTGTCTTAGGATTCAAAATAAAACTCCTCGTTCGATAACTATGTATGACATGCAACTTGTAACAAGGAACACAATTGAAATAGCGGCTAATGGTGATCATTGATAGGCTGAATTGGTGAAAAAATAGCCCCAAGGTGAGCGTGTCAGGGCCCAGATGTGCATTGAATGGTGACGGGGAAATAATGAAAACATGCACGACACAACAAAGCGAAACATGGAAAATACAAAAAATGCAGAGCTAAATGAAAAAAGGATAACCAGGCCGGCAGTAAATCGTTCCATACTTGGCTATTATCGATCAGGCTGCAGGGCGCAAGGCTGCGACCGCTTTCTTTGGAAAAACGTCATTGGAGCGCGGTTGTTGGACTTGCCAACGTCCTGGGGTCTGTTCGGGGGTTATATCTTTTTTAGGTGCGGAGCTTTTGAGGAATGGTGAGCAGCATGCAACGGCAAAGTTTCTACTATTGTGTATTCTACCTAGCTGCAAACTGAACAATCCCCGTTGGTGAAATATTCCGGATGGGTCACGGTTCGGCCAGGGGTAAATCGCGAGCTGGTTTCCATGATTCACACAAGGACTGCTTCGTTCAAACGCAATTTCATCAGGACTGAAGTCGTCTTGAAACCCCTCCATCTTTTCTCTTTCCAATAAGCTTTACAGTTTTTCTGAAGACCCACTAGTTCAGGAGATATTTTAGATGGGTCACAGATGCGCCACCCTCTGACCCACCCGAAAAATTGACTCCTTATGTGCCATTGTGAGGATACACCTTCGGAAACTTCAGTGTGCCTTCAAAACACATATTTCCCTTCAAATGAGTGAAAGAGAAGCTCGGCTATCTCTGATCGATTTGGTCCGTGCGCCGTGCATTAGGCTCCTACGCAGAGGTGGTGGAAAGGTGTAAATTCTGATTTCAGGTGCTTTTATCCATGCAAGCAGATGTTTGTTTAGGGTTTGTAAAGGACAACACGCACGAATCTGTTTGAGACGTATTATTTAGTCATCTACGTACTTACGAGTTCATGCTATAAACTGACACTTATTTATTTATTTATTCTTGCTATATTGCTAATAAATCTTTTATTATTTTGTATTCCTATTTACATCCGGGTCTTCTGAAGCTTTCCGTCCGTTCCATTACCCTTAGCAATGACACTTTGTACTGTTTGATGCCTAGCGAGCCTACTTTTGCGATACTCCCCACGTCCCCCGCGGCCAAGTACGAACCCATTCTTGGGGATTTTCCCAAGAGGGCTGTTAAACGTAGCATTTAAAGCTGTAAAGAATACACTCATAATAAACTTCATTTTTTAAACATCTTGACTTCCATAGCTCCACTCCCACTATCAACTGAAATGTCGAACCATTGCTCGGCTCTGAGTGACCCTTGAGATTACGACCCCCCTCTCCATCGGCCAGGTACGACCCCCCATGGGTTTGGCACAACGATGCTGTACCTATTTGTGAAACGTGTGGGCGGGCGTTGTCATGCAAAGGAATCGGACCCTTTCTTTTGATAAGTGTTGGCTGCATCTGACAAAATTTTCGGTACAATTCGTCGATTTCTTCACAGTAGGGTTCTGCTGTGATGGTTTGGCCTGGTGATAAAAAGTTATAGTGGATCACACCAGCCGATGACCACCAAGCCGTGACCAGAATCTTTTTTCGTGAGGGTTCGGCTTTGAAAATTACCTCGGTGGTTCGTCGAAATCCAACCACTGTCCGGAACGTCTCCTGTTATCATACATGACCCATTTTTCATCACAGGTGACAATTCGGCCCAAAAACAGGTCGTTTCTGCTGCGCAAAAGCAATGCAGAAGGAACCTCGAGACGTGCCGATTCCTGCCGGTCACTCCGATTGTGGGGCACCCAATTGTCGAGTTTTTTCACCTTCCCAATGCGTTCCAGACCATCTGCAACAGTGGATTTGCCAAGGCCTAGCTCTTCTGCTATCTCTCGAACTGTTTGGGATGGGTCAGCCTCCAAAATCCCCTAAAATCCTCGTCAGATATTGCTTTAGGTCGACCGCTATGAGGTTCATCTTCAAGGCTGAAATCTCCAGAACGAAATTTGTTGAGCCATTGCCGCACAGTGCTTTCTCTAGCACTATTGGGCCCCACACCTGGTTAATTTGTTGAGCTGTTTCGATTGCGGATTGCCCCAATTTATAGTCGAAGAAAAAAATCGTCCGAAGTGCTCTTTTCACATGCTTGAAAAAAAAAATCTTGAACAGGGCACAGCATTCGATGGGGATTTTGGTCGAGCCTGTACGACCCCCCTTTTTGGGGGTTCGGTACGACCCCCCCTTTTTTTGCCGTTTGTAAAAAGAAGAAAAAAAAATATTATGAGCTCGAACCTGCGACGAAAAGCATCCAAAATAAAGCAGGATTGAAACTCTAGGCGAATAAAGGAGACTGTGATTGAAAAGAAAAAAATACAAAAAGTGTCATAACAGAAAAGAAAACCAAAAAGAAATGCATAACAGCCTAAACGAAGCCGAGGTAACCTCTTTGAATAACTTTCCCGCGCGCACCCGTTTGAATCGGCGCCGAGGTACCAAGAGGAAGGGAATTCTGGGCAGGACCAGCCGTGGGAAACAAATTTTCAGCAAGTAGGGTGTCTTTGAAGGACCATAACTTCCTCAAAAGCGGACCTATGGGGAAGAGGAAAGCGTATTCGTGTAGAGGAAGGTTTGATCTTCCTAAAAGTACTAAAATGTTCATGAAGGTCGCAAAAATCACAGAGAAATTGCCTTGGGATTCGATGGGGATTTTTTTCAGGAACAGGTTTGAATCAATATATTTTTTTTGTAACTCAACATTTCACAAATCTGAGAACGGATTCGAGTGTATGAAGACTTGCTCTTTCTAAAAACCTATTGAACTGTTTCTGAAGTCCTCGGGATTCATGAGATCTGGCGATGGGGATTTCTTGCGCAGTACTCCGAGCTGCGCGAAAAACCGTGTACCGTTTCAAGTGAGCGTGTTCGAATAACCAGGAACGCATGAAAAACGTATCCTGTGGTGGAGCAGGAGCAGAATATGGTTCGTTTAGCGCCGATCACGCTGACTTTGGATGCGCCGCGCACTGAGGTCCTGCGCAGAGGTGATAGCGTAATGCTGTCCACGCGAGCAAATGTGTCTGTAGGATTCAGGGAGGTCCATGGCGAATGGCGTGCACTTGTTTACAGTGTTTTCCCTTGCGGATGATGTAGCGTGTCCGTGTCGACGCCGCCAGATCTGTGCTCCGCCAATTGCTGACTCCGATAAAGGAGACCAACTGCTGGAAAACGTCTGATACGAACGATATGGTAGTCCTGTCGTTTGTCGAAAAAAAGCGTTGGCTCAGCGCCAAGCGTGATCGCGGACACGCCCCATCATCCGCAACGAACCAGAGTATGAGTTGTACTGTTTAGTCATCAACGGACTTACGAGATGTTGTCGACTTATTAATAATTCCAGTTATTTCGGATTAGTTTGATGGTTGAAAGTTTTGTACTATTTTTTACATATCCGAGTTCTCTACAAAGCAAGTTCCGCTACACAGGATTCAGCACACTGACACCTTTGCGCTGCTCGATACTGGCTACCGCACTCATTACGACCCCCCCTCTCCTGGCGGCCAAATACGACCCCCCTATGGGGATTCCCCAACCAATGCTGTGCCCTGTCTTGAAAAAAGGGGGTTTATCAAGCAATGGTGAAACGGCAATTATACCATCAGATAGCGCAAGAAATTCTCTACAGGATGTGCTACTGAGAAGCAAGGCAGAATGAGTTTTTAATCAGCAGTGAATGTACAAAAAATAGGTGCACAAAACGCTGAGAACTTTCCGGACAACCTAATAGTTTGGGCAACCTTGACTAACATACATGTCTCTAACGTGAAACTCATACAGTAACCTCACACAGTAGTACGATGAGCTCGGCCACTTATAACTGGTCTTGTGTTGTGCCTCTAAAAGTTGTTTGTTAATATTAATTTCACGAAAGATCCTTCAAGTTCTTTCATGAGGTTAGAAGCGATATCCGATGGGTAAGAGTATACTAGTAGGTTGTCCTGAAAGGTCGCGAGATCGGTTTTTTTGAGTTTCGTATCAGATTTCTCCGCAATCATTTCAAATCCAGATTGCGTGTCTAGTCGGACAACGTAGATAATAAGCGGTGAATATAGATCAGGCTAGTCTTGCATGCAATCATACGGGCAGGATCTCTTATGCGAAACGGTGATTGAAACTGCTCATTTTCAACGCTCGCTATATGGATTTCCTCCAAGTCACAATGTGGTTGCTGGCACACGCGGCATTTGCTCCGGGTTGAGTCTCGATGCTACCTTCCCTATTATGGCCTTGAAATGGACCAATCGTTTCGCTCAAGTGTCTTCTACCCGGGAGAGAAACATTGTCCAGGGCCACCTGCCTTGGACTCGGACCTTCTGCGCTCCTTGATCAAAACCCACTTGTACAAATCAACTCGCTATCTGGCTCTGCACTTGACTGTTCCAAAGGCACAAATTACAGAGGCTCTCACCTCCTTTAAAAATATTGAGGTTCGGCCGGAATTTTTCTCGTGAGTTGGCCGATACTCAAGGGGAAGGGCATGTGGGTATTGTCTCCAACTTCTCTCCCGCGTCTGACGTATGGACTGGTTGAATGGCGTTGTAACTGAATATGAGGAAAAAGTCTTCAGGTGAAGCGCTCCCGGAAACGCCATTGGCTAGATCCTCCAAAAAAGGCAAAATCGGTCGCGCAATCCTATCAATCCAGCAGGACGATGAGAGTGTGTGTGTGGTGGGTTTCTTTCCCTCTTCCTTCAAGGGAATTTCTCCGCTATGGTGACTGAACTCACTGTTACACTGAACTCTTCTGTTACAAATAGCAAAGAGGGGATGAAGATGCCCATTGGTCCCACAACCCAGCAATGTGTGACTACTCCACCACGGCTCAGGGCCACACCTCGAAAAATGACACTGCTCGAGTTTTTGAGGCTTTTGGCTGGTGAAGTCCCATCGCGGTCTGCATGTAGCACTGGCTCAGCCCTGTCTGACTGAAATCTAAACTAAGTCCAAAATGCGATTTTCAAGAGCACTTCTGTATTGACCCAACGGGCTTTATCGGCTCGAAGCCAAAAAGCTTCTGAGAGCAAGGCAACCATTCTTTGCTTCAGGGATAGTTTCTCATTTATAACATTTTTCTGTCTCTAAGCGGAACAGTCTTCAGAACGAGCAAGTTTTTTCTGCAAGGCAACCACTCTCTGCAAGCAACACTGTGATTGTTCTGCTGCAGGGCAAGTGAATAAACCCTATGCACTTTGTAGTGACGCTGTTCTTCCAACAGTACATCTTACAACAGTACCTTCGTAAATTCGCCTCTTCATCACAACCGGAACGAGAAGTTGTGAGATCCTTTGATAGAATTTTTCAGTGATATAGCCGTTACATAAGCTATTCTCATAGGCAATGTAAAATCGATGAGTAGCTGAAAACATTTTGGGTTGTTAAACGCAAATTCCATAGATAAAACTGAGTGTAAATTCTTTTGCTTCCTTTTTCATGACAATGATACCTTATGAGGCGGAGGTGGTGTAGTGACAAGTGGCGCGCTTACCACTCGCGCGGCGCCGGGTTCGAATCCCGGTCGACACCCGCCCAGGCCAACCAAGCCTTCTACCCTCCGGGACGGTAAATTGGTACCAGGTTCGTCTGAAGAAGGAGGGTAAAACACTGACTCTTCATAGGCTAGCCACCGCAAGTATATTGTATATTGTATAGGCCACATCGCATTCAATAAGCCACTACGATTCTGAATGGAAGTAGAATGCGTGCCGCATCCCACAAAGGGATTGATCAACGGCGAAGACTGTATCCTTCTTGAACCTTACAGCGTGGCCGTACGTGCACAAGGTAGGAGATGGCAGTGGTACATCCGAATGTACAGCGAAGATCAGTACAAAAGTTAACCTTGCCATATTGTTGTGAGAGATCAGCAAAATAAGTAAATATGGATTTAGAATAATTAACCTATGAGAGCATCGTCATCGCAATCTTCTTTGCAAGAGAATCCTCGCGTTTCGTTGCCGACGCTGAACTGTTCCTCGCACTTTCCTCTGACCGTTACTTCAGTATGTTGGCCTAGTTCCCTTAAATACGCATCTTGGAGCATCAATCTTCAGTACAAGAGAGAAAGTTTCAACAAGGCAAGGATAGGACGCATTTAGCGACTCCATTCCTGTTGCTTCAGAAACTGGTAAGGAAACCAGAAAAGATTTCGTTAAGTTTTCTTCACTACTACTGACATAATATGATCTTCTCGCTTAGAGGGTGTCTTGCAGTTCGAGACGAAAATAAGTGACCCTCTAGTCTTCCTCTTCAGAGAGTCGGTAATCTGAAAATTCGTGTTTACATCGAGACTACAACTGTTAGATTAGCTCAGAAGAAAGCTCTCAATGTGTCATGGACCAGAGGTCAGCAATGCTACATCAGCGGAAATAACGAACTTTGAGGTGGCTTTGAGAGATGGTATTTCAAGATGACCACTGAACAAGAGCGATTCTTCGAGTGGATGCTCTGGACTTCTTTCAACGTCAAGACAATTATAAGCAAAAGAAAACACAATATTGGGGAAAAAAATAAAAAATGGGAAAATAGATTGGGAAAAACCCAAAAGCGCAGATGATCGCCGGCTATCCCAGGCGAACCGTCATTGTCTAGCCAACCCCCAGCTCGTCAGTGCGACAGGTTGACGACATGAGGACATGGACTACATAGGGGAAGGAGTTGAGAAATAGGATAAAACGAGAGAAAATGTGAAAAAAGGTTCACATGCAAAATTCATGCAACTAAGATGAGGAGAAAGTGCACAGAAAATGAAAGAAGGGTATATATAACACGATGTAGCTACGGAACACGTGTGAGAGGAAGGAAAATGTGTGATGTGGATTGTTGCCAAAAGGGTAGGCCGGCGGGGAATATCGAGTATAAAACAGTTGAAGCGGATCACAAAGGGTTAACCAAAAAAGAATAGTTGTGGTTGCAAGAGGATTAGTGTTAAACACCGCTGTCAGCAAGAATACCTTCAACCAATCTATTAGGTTGTCGCATAAGTTCTTATACACGTGTTTGATCCTCTCCTATTTCGTTCGCATGGATGTTGGTATTACGTGTACATGTATACTCTTTCATTACACTAGCTATCACTCACCGAGCTTGCATTTGCAGTACACAATGTCGCACAATTACCACTGTGACAGAATGTACCTGCGCCACTGCCTGGTTTTGCTTAACGATTCACAAAAGAAGCTTCACTCTCTCACTCGATAATCACTGTAGATGAGAAGTGGGTCCTCTACGATAACCCTGTGAGGAAGCGGCAGTGGGTCGACAAAGGAGAACAGCCAGAAGCCACCCCAAAGGCCGACCTTCACCCCAAGAAGGTTCTCCTGTCCTGTTGGTGGTCCAGAAGAGGCATGGAGTGCTGGAGAAGGGATAGACGATTGACGCGTCCACATAGTTACCCAGCTGCGCAAAGTGAAAGATCACGTCGACCGTACTCGTGGAAGGAATGCGGAAATCTACTTCCACCATGACAACGCCCGACCTCACACTGCAAAGGCGACCCAGGCCGAGCTGGAGAAGTACGGATGGCTGATGGTCGCCCACCCTCCCTACAGCCCTGACCTCGCTCCTTCTGACTACTGGCTGTTCAGCCACCTGCAGCGCTCTCTGGACGGAAAAAAGTTCGAAACAAAGGATCAGGTCAGAAAGGCACTCGACGACTTCTTCAAGTCCCAGCCCCCGTCGTTCTGGATCGAGAGCATCGAGAGCACAGCTGCCTCGCTTTTTTTTCAAATGCCACAATTTGATTCTTTCGGAACCACATCCAAAGGTGCTGAGACGAATAAACGACATCATCAAGACAATTTCCACAGAGGAAAATAAACACCCAGCCACACGCTGCGCCTCACCAGCTTAGGGGTCCGGTTCAGAAAGTAAGCGTGAAAAACGGAGGCGGCTTCAAGCTTCAAGAAGATGTAGCCAGGCAAGGCGATGGGGCTGACGACGTGGCGGCCGAAATATAGAAATCACACTGCTGGCAGTCTGCCGTATGCTTGACAATGTGACAAAAATTTTCAGTTAGGTGCTGCAGAGAAGAAAGTGCTCAAAATAATGCGAGAGAGCACGACTGTTTTGATCTGGAAGAAAAGAGGCAGTCCTGCAGACTGCTCAAATTATCGTCCAATTCGCTTGCTCTCGCACAGCATGAAATTTTGAGCGAATTGTTGATAAGCGTATTCGTGATATCGTCCAGCTCTCTACCAACCAGTGTGGCTTCGTGACTGGCTGTAGCACCATCGACGCCATACATGCCGCTCGTCTATTGCTGGGAAAACATCGTGAGAAGAGATTCGCTTGCTGGACGCTTAACTACGCTGGTGATGTGATGCTCGCTTGCGAGGATAAGAATGGTCTCGAGAAACAAGTGCAAGTCCGGACTGAGGTTAGCGAATTTGAACTTAGATTGAACGTCAAGAAAACCGAGTACCTGACGACTGACCCGGACGAGTCTGGTTCCCTTAAGGTCAGCGGCAGTGTGCTCACGCGAACGACAACGTTCAAATACCTCGGATCAACAATTACGTTTAATCGATGATCTATAGATTCGTCGTTTGACCAGTCGCTGTCGGTGCATAATGCTGGCTTACGACCAAAGAAGTGGGGGGGAAAATGTTGCGATGGACCGCGGTGTCACCGTATGGATCGCATACTCAATGACGACACCAGGAAGAGATTCCGTGTAGCTCCTGTAGTGCAGAAAATGCTCGAAGCGAAGCACTCGATGGTATGGTAATGTTCTCTGCTCGAACTGCGACATCGTTTGTAGAACTATGTAGTCTTGTGCTCGAGGTACCTGGAAAGCGGTCCAAAAGACGCCCCAAGCAGCGCCGGTTGGACTTGTTGCATGTGGA